ATTACTTGCATTTGAAAACACTGGATTTTGACATGCGATCTCTGGGAGAAGGCCATATCCTCATTCTTCATCCTCAACTCGCATCCTCTCCTCCTCTGCAAAATGTACTTTTTTCATCAATCATCCACGTCCTGCAATATTTTATAACATAAATTTTATCTTCATGCAACCTCCTCGCTCCTCACTGAGAATTCTGGTATCTCCTCTGTTCTGCCTGTATCCCTCTCAAATGCAAAAGAAGCCACTGGAAAGAGACAGTGCGAGCAAGGATGATTAATTCATCCGGTCCGTTAATTAATTCTGCCAGTTGCTTTAGTGGATTAGTGATAATTCTCGTGGATAACTTGTAAGTGTGAAAATGCGGGAATATCGGGCGGGGAAGGCTTCCTGATCCAGTGACCTAGTTCTCCAGCGGGAGCTGCACCAGCAAGCCAGCGGTCATCCAAAAAAAGACACTCTTCTGCAGCATCTTGAACTCTTCACAGTGCTGCAGATGCGTTGCATGTACACTACGCTGATGAGTCTGTGCTTCCCCTCATTTTCAGTATTCCAGTCTATTTCTTTTTTTGTCTTTCTTTTCCAGGATTAGCCTGATTTTCCGCCGTATTTTTATGGGGAAAAAGAAAAAAAACCACGGACAAGTTCACCAGCATCAGCAGCAACTGTCATCCGAAGAAGGGTCATCCGTTGCTGCTTCGGTGATGACTGCTGCTCCCAATCCGTTAATCCGACAAGTAACATTCGATGGATCCTCCAAGCAGACAAGGTTCCATTTTGGCTTTCTACAAAGTGGGGCAATTTTCTGTCATTAGTTGCATAATGCTTCGTTATTTTTTAGTGCTAACCTGTCATCTTCGGTTTGCGCTTAGTTTTTTGCAATTTTTTCCCCGCAAAGCATCCGCACTTCGTACTTGAGTTGTCATCATCAACACTCGCAAAAGGGAATCATTGATAGTTTTGCTAATGCTTCCATTCGGGCTGCTTCTGAGTGCTAAAAGAGAGTGAGCACGGAAGAGAGGTTTTGTCTGTTGGCATAGCAGAGAGTGCCTTTGGTGTTAGAAGAGTTCGTTAAATGAGTGCATGAATTTTCGCGGATGAAATAGAGGAGAGTGGTGAAGCTGCTGCCAGCTGCATCAGTGGCGTAGAGAAATGCAACGATGAAACAAAAACTGCTTAGAATAAATTATCATAAATGTAAATGCAGTAAGTGCGTGCAA